TATTACTTTTTTTGCATACGTTATTAAGTTTTAATTCCTAACATCTCATCTGGACCTCAGTGTTCTGGGCTTTCGAGGCCATAGTAAGACCCATGATAAACCCTTACCCAGGCCCGTAGAAGAAGCTTCTGTGTACCAGCACATGAAATTGGTTGTTGCTCCCTCACACCATCACTTCTCCCTCCACCTCCCCATTCCACCTCCCCACTGTGAAAAAGAATTTTAATTACAAAATTAACATTTTTTACTAATCTATTTATTTACTTTAAACTCAAACCCTATCTTTTTATCCATTTTTACTTTTCACTCAGTCTCACCTCTCAACTCTCCTTCTCTTTCTTTTTAGATTTCCACCTCTGAAACTCCACCACATCCGTGTGTTTTAATTACAAAAATATTAATATAATAAAATTATATATTTCATATAATTAAACTAATAAATAATTTTTTATATAATTATAAAATTGTTAAAAAATACAAAAACCATATATAAAAAATATATATTATACAAAAACATCAAAACAAAAAACTAATTATATATAATTGCAAAATACAAAAAAATATAAATATAAACTAATAACAATAAAGATCTTCAAAAATACATTATTAAAATACATCAAAAATATATTAAAAAATAGGCTTAATACCCTATTTTGTCCCTAGTTTCGTTCGAAAATGTCAAATTAGTCCATCCTTTAAAAAATGTGTCAATTACGTCCTAACTTAATAAAATTTGCATCAATGAAATCCCTTCCGTTAAATCCGTACAAACGGCGTTAATTATTTTTCTCTTTTTTCTACTTAGATAATTAACGCCGTTTGTACGGATTTAACGGAAGGGATATCATTGATGCAAATTTTATTAAGTGAGGACGTAATTGACGCATTTTTTAAAGGATGGACTAATTTGACATTTTCGAGCGAAACTGGGGACAAAATAGGATATTAAGCCTAAAAAATAATACATCAAAACATAAATTACATTATTAAAATATCTCCAAAATTAATATAAAAAATAAACTAATAAAAATAAACTGGAAAATAAACATGTAACTTTAAACAGATGTGAGCATCCGTCAACGGATGTCAACATTCGTTTAAGGCAAAACGGATATCGACATCCGTTTTCCCTTAAAGATGATATGTTTATTTTTTTAGGGTTTATTACGCACCTTCACGACGAATCTTTCAAGCACCACCACCACACACCGATCTTGACACGGCTGATTAATTGCTTCCACCATCACTTGCAATCTCTCACTAAACACACCAGCTAATGAAAGTCCTATCACAATTAAAGAATGAGAGGAAGAAGTGAAACGTGAAAAAGAGGAAGAAGAGCACAATGAAACAATGAGGGGATGAACGATAAAGAGAAAGAAGATTGGAGTGGGTAAAGGTTAAAAAATATTAACCCTAAAATTTTACTAATGGTAAAATAGGAATGAGAAAATATAGAGAGGGGTAAAACACGAATGGAATGGTAGAGGGAGAAAGGGGTGGTGGTGGAGGGAGAAAAACCCCATAAAATTTTAGAAGAAAAAAAAGAAGAAAGCAAATAAAAGAAGTAAGAGAAATAAAAAAAATAAAAAAAAATAAGGCTTAATACCTGTTTTGGTCTCTCTTTATAAGGGAAATGTTCAAGTTCGTCCTACCTTTTTTAAAAAGTTCAATGTGGTCCCAACTTATGAAAAAAGTGTACAATTAAATCCTTTTTGGTCACGGCGTTAAATATTTAACGATCCAGCTGACAGCATGGAGTGATCTGTGCAACGTGGCTGTTTAGCTTCATAACGTGGCAGTGATAGTGTTTTTCATTAAAGTTCACGTGGTAGTGGCAGTGATTTTCATTAAATAAAGACTTAGGGTTTGGTTTCCTCCGAATTGGTCTTTGAGGATTGGGAAGTGTTTGAGGAGACATATGAATGGGTTCCCAAGGGTGTTCTTCGTTTTCGAAAAGCTGGGCCAAAGGATCTTCTCATTCGTCCCATGGTGGTGCTTGTAGGGGAGGTGGGTTAATCCCTACTTGTTACTGTGGTGATATTGCAGTAATCAAAGTGGCCAGAACTACGAAGAATGCTGGGAGAAAGCTTCAGTGATGTTGTTATCAAGGGTATCACACATTGGTTGACCTGTGAAGCGAGACCTTGACCAAAACCTGTTGCACAAAAGAATTCTCAAATGGGTTACAATGCATCTGTGACACTAAAGTGTATATAATGGCTAATGGGTTACCTTGGGGGAATGCCTATGAGGTATTTATATGCTTCAACATTGACTTCTTTAATTTTCAGCATTTCTCTCTCCCAAGCCTGGGGATATGTGCGGGTTGCAGCACTCCACATCAGATTTTTTAATACCTGTCCACCAAACCTTTTCCTAAAGTTTGCATAGAGGTGCCTTAAACAGTATCTTTGTTCTGCCCGATTAAATTTAGTAATAAAACCATATCCTATACAAAAGCATTAACTAAAAAGGAATATAAGCTGCATATTATACCTTCTACTGGTCTGACATCCATGTGCACCCTCTACATACTTCAGTGGCCCCGAGGTCTTCAATTAACAATTGCAAAAACCATGTCCAGCTGTCTTTGTTCTCCACTTCTACTACTGCATAGGCAAGGGGTAGCATTTGATCGTTTGGGTCCCTACCAACAGCAGTCAGCAGCTCCCCCTTGTAAACACCTTTCAAAAAACATCCGTCTAAACATATAATGGGCCTACAACTTATGAAACTATCTTTACAAGCTTTGAGACAAACATACATTCTTTGAAAGATTGGGTCACCATTATGAGAGTCAACTTTAATCTGCACTGTTGACCCTGGATTACACCTCAACAGCTCATATCCATAGTCGTACACCCTTTTATATTGTTCTTTGAAATCTCCTTCAACCTGTCTTGTGGCAATTAACTTTTCCCTTCTTGCCTTGGATATTGAAACATTTGTATTCCATTTTCTTAATGCTTTAGTACGAATATCATTCACCTTTAAACTAGGATTCTCAACTAAAGATCTATGTATTTCCTGACTTAACCACTTAGCATTCATCAGTTTAATATTAAGTTGCCTACTACAACTATGAGTATCAATTATCTTCCTCAATTGCCAAATTTTTCATGACGACAAATAACCACAATAAGCTAGCCATGGGCACTTACCTTGGCCATCCATGCATGTCACCCTCACCCTACGGTTATCATTTTTGATAAATTTTAGATCCCTCCCAGCATGAACAACATACCTTCTAATAGCATCCTTAAACTCTTTCCTATCAGTAAAAATAGTGCCCACTTCCTACTTGTAATCTGCCATGGACTTTTGCTTTGCATATTTTGAGAAAGGACCTACATATATTGTATCATCATTGTCATCCTCCTCACTTGCACTATTTTCATGAATTAAAAGCTTATCAAACTCTCAATCATCATCTGACAAACCCCTACATTGTTGGGTTTCTTTTTCACTGTCTTCATCCACGTATTCATCATCACTCAGATCATTCGTTCCTGCTTCATCATCACTGTTCACTTCCACTTCCACTTCTTCTTCACTATCAACCTCCCCTCCATCCTGAATGTCCACGTCAACTACTTGTTCACTTTCGACCTCAATCTCAGCCTCATTATCCACTTCCAATGCTTCTTCACTTACATCCTCAACTTCATCCTCATTCTCAACCTTCACTACAACCTCATCATCTTCTGCATCCTCATGCTCAACATCCTCATTATCCACTAAATCCTCCTTCTCAACCTCCAATGCATCGTCATGGTCAACATCCAACCAATCCTCATTGTGAACATCCAATAAATCCTCCTTCTGAACCTCCAACGCATCGTCACTCTCAACATCCCGTGCATCCTCATTGTCAACATCCACTGCATAGTCATTCTCAACCTCCACTACACCCTCCACTACGTCTGTAATTCCTTCTTCACCACCCTCAACATGTGCTTCTCCTCCCACGCCACTACCCTCACCACTCTCTGCATGACCTTCACATAGCAAAAGAATCTCATTCTCATCATTTTCTAAGATAGTTGCTTCGTCCACCCCATGCACAACATACAGGTTCACTTTCCCCAAATACTTAGCCACATTCATCATGTTCATAGCTCCTTTATCATCATCAACCTTATGTAGAACATGTTGGACACTGTAATATAATTCTTCTACTTGCATGTAACCCATATGGTTAAGTGAACCTAATACTCCAAAATAACATCATTTATCGGGGTCTACGTCCCAATTAACTATCTCCCCGCCTATATAATTAAAGAGGACTTCTTTGATCAAGGTCCCACCATGGTGGACCACTACTCGAAACATGTCATCACACATCCCTACCTGAACCCTGCAAATGCAAACGAGGGACCACTAATTTCAGTTAAAGTAAGACCTATGGGACCATTATCATGCATCTAAACAAGACAACTTTTCACACAAAACAATTTCACCCATAGTTAAACCCCCTGAACGCGACAACAATAAAAACATATCGAAAAACCTCAAACACTTAAAATTATCAAATGTAAACTCTAACCTGATTTGTGGAATTCAATTTGCTCAACAGATTTCACCTTCAAGATCACCCAATTTGGATTTCCAGTTCCTCCAAAATGCTTAACCCTAAATCGCGATTTCTGCAACCCAAACCCTAACTCAGAATTTTTTAATCACTGCTACGTGAATTTTAATGAAAAACACTGTCACTTCCACGTTATGAAGCTAAACAACCACGTTGCACAGATCACTTCACGCTGTCAGCTAGATCGTTAAATATTTAATGCCGTGATAAAAAAAATGTAATTGTACATTTTTCTCACAAGTTGAGACTATATTAAACTTTTTAAAAAAGTAGGATGGACTTGAACCTATAAAGAGAGAACGAAGGTATTAAGAAACAAAAATAAAAGGAATAAAGAATGATACCATGGAATAAAGTTGCGATGGGATTGACCAACTGTTTAATAATTCTTTGCATCTCACACGTACTCCCAACAACGCCTCGCTGGCACATCCGAACTCCGCCACGTGGCCTTGGGCTTGAATTCCAACCTATTATTAGGTTAAGGTGGAACTTAAAACTTGGAACATGGCAGAGCGACGACGAGTGAAGAAGACCACACCGTTCAACAAGTAATAACTGACATCATAATCGTTGTCATCGTCGATTCAGAAGTAGAATGAAGCATAATTTGTGTTTGTGATTTGTGAATTGTGAGTGGCGGAGATGAAGGGAGAGACGGCGACGCTGGTGCTGGTGAACCTGGCGGGGATAATGGAGAGGGCGGATGAGTCACTGCTTCCGGGAGTATACAAGGAAGTGGGAGCTGCGCTTCACACCGACCCCACCGGCCTCGGTTCTCTCACTCTCTTTCGATCCATCGTTCAATCCTCCTGCTACCCTATCGCCGCCTACCTCGCCGTCCGCCACAACCGCGCACATGTCATCGCCCTGGGTGCTTTTCTCTGGGCTGCCGCCACCTTCCTTGTTGCATTCTCCTCCACTTTCTTCCAGGTCACCGCTGTTTCTTACGACACAAGTTACAACTCTTAAATTCATATGAAGGGGGAAGAGTGTTTCTAAATTCGGGATACCAGGGTTGTAGAATTTGTAATCTAGGTCTTTTTCTACCAAATGCCTAACAAATTATGAATGTGTTGGAATATTAGCGGATGTTTTCTTAATATCCGATCAACTGTTTTTATCAGCTTATCTACTTGAAAGGACTTCGATAAAGTGGCAGTAGTTGAAGGGAGAAATTCATTCGATTCCATTTATTTTAGTTTTTTTTACAAGTGTTTATAGAAAAAAATATTTACACATAATCATCTGAGATAATTTTAGCGTATCTTTTGCTAATGGAAGTTTGTCTGGACTTTAAGCCTCAAATTTCTGGTAAAAGCATGGAGTTGGGGATATCACCTTATAATTTTTCTTTTGTTATAACAGAGGTACCCACTTTTCTATCATAATTCTGAAAACTCTGTGATAGCTCTGTTTATGAGAAAATAAGTAAAAGCAAGAGGTTTAGTACTAGTTAAGGTGTAGGTGAAAGGAAAGAGCATCAAACCATATTTTACATGTTACAAGATGAAAGAGCAGCAAAAAAAATGAGAATTTCTTTTATTACACTAAATTGTGCTTCAAAAATGTTACGAAATTGGTGTTCAAGACCATGTCTCTGGTGCCATCCTAGTATCATTGCATACCGTTTTGCCTTACAAAAAAAAAAAAAAAGAATTCAAGACTACTCTAATTTCCAAAAGCATGTTTTTGTTCGTTGGCATTTTCACAGTTGGCAATCATACGAAGTTCTTGAAACAATGTCAGTATAACTGTTATGCTATTGTAGGTATATGGTTGACTGTATTCACTTTGAACTTTGAAGTCATTGTATTGTAGGTAGCTTTGTCACGAGCATTTAATGGAATTGGCCTTGCGCTTGTAGCACCTGCAATCCAGTCTCTTGTTGCTGACTCAACTGATGACAGCAATCGTNTATGGTTAAGTGAACCTAATACTCCAAAATAACATCATTTATCGGGGTCTACGTCCCAATTAACTATCTCCCCGCCTATATAATTAAAGAGGACTTCTTTGATCAAGGTCCCACCATGGTGGACCACTACTCGAAACATGTCATCACACATCCCTACCTGAACCCTGCAAATGCAAACGAGGGACCACTAATTTCAGTTAAAGTAAGACCTATGGGACCATTATCATGCATCTAAACAAGACAACTTTTCACACAAAACAATTTCACCCATAGTTAAACCCCCTGAACGCGACAACAATAAAAACATATCGAAAAACCTCAAACACTTAAAATTATCAAATGTAAACTCTAACCTGATTTGTGGAATTCAATTTGCTCAACAGATTTCACCTTCAAGATCACCCAATTTGGATTTCCAGTTCCTCCAAAATGCTTAACCCTAAATCGCGATTTCTGCAACCCAAACCCTAACTCAGAATTTTTTAATCACTGCTACGTGAATTTTAATGAAAAACACTGTCACTTCCACGTTATGAAGCTAAACAACCACGTTGCACAGATCACTTCACGCTGTCAGCTAGATCGTTAAATATTTAATGCCGTGATAAAAAAAATGTAATTGTACATTTTTCTCACAAGTTGAGACTATATTAAACTTTTTAAAAAAGTAGGATGGACTTGAACCTATAAAGAGAGAACGAAGGTATTAAGAAACAAAAATAAAAGGAATAAAGAATGATACCATGGAATAAAGTTGCGATGGGATTGACCAACTGTTTAATAATTCTTTGCATCTCACACGTACTCCCAACAACGCCTCGCTGGCACATCCGAACTCCGCCACGTGGCCTTGGGCTTGAATTCCAACCTATTATTAGGTTAAGGTGGAACTTAAAACTTGGAACATGGCAGAGCGACGACGAGTGAAGAAGACCACACCGTTCAACAAGTAATAACTGACATCATAATCGTTGTCATCGTCGATTCAGAAGTAGAATGAAGCATAATTTGTGTTTGTGATTTGTGAATTGTGAGTGGCGGAGATGAAGGGAGAGACGGCGACGCTGGTGCTGGTGAACCTGGCGGGGATAATGGAGAGGGCGGATGAGTCACTGCTTCCGGGAGTATACAAGGAAGTGGGAGCTGCGCTTCACACCGACCCCACCGGCCTCGGTTCTCTCACTCTCTTTCGATCCATCGTTCAATCCTCCTGCTACCCTATCGCCGCCTACCTCGCCGTCCGCCACAACCGCGCACATGTCATCGCCCTGGGTGCTTTTCTCTGGGCTGCCGCCACCTTCCTTGTTGCATTCTCCTCCACTTTCTTCCAGGTCACCGCTGTTTCTTACGACACAAGTTACAACTCTTAAATTCATATGAAGGGGGAAGAGTGTTTCTAAATTCGGGATACCAGGGTTGTAGAATTTGTAATCTAGGTCTTTTTCTACCAAATGCCTAACAAATTATGAATGTGTTGGAATATTAGCGGATGTTTTCTTAATATCCGATCAACTGTTTTTATCAGCTTATCTACTTGAAAGGACTTCGATAAAGTGGCAGTAGTTGAAGGGAGAAATTCATTCGATTCCATTTATTTTAGTTTTTTTTACAAGTGTTTATAGAAAAAAATATTTACACATAATCATCTGAGATAATTTTAGCGTATCTTTTGCTAATGGAAGTTTGTCTGGACTTTAAGCCTCAAAATTCTGGTAAAAGCATGGAGTTGGGGATATCACCTTATAATTTTTCTTTTGTTATAACAGAGGTACCCACTTTTCTATCATAATTCTGAAAACTCTGTGATAGCTCTGTTTATGAGAAAATAAGTAAAAGCAAGAGGTTTAGTACTAGTTAAGGTGTAGGTGAAAGGAAAGAGCATCAAACCATATTTTACATGTTACAAGATGAAAGAGCAGCAAAAAAAATGAGAATTTCTTTTATTACACTAAATTGTGCTTCAAAAATGTTACGAAATTGGTGTTCAAGACCATGTCTCTGGTGCCATCCTAGTATCATTGCATACCGTTTTGCCTTACAAAAAAAAAAAAAAAGAATTCAAGACTACTCTAATTTCCAAAAGCATGTTTTTGTTCGTTGGCATTTTCACAGTTGGCAATCATACGAAGTTCTTGAAACAATGTCAGTATAACTGTTATGCTATTGTAGGTATATGGTTGACTGTATTCACTTTGAACTTTGAAGTCATTGTATTGTAGGTAGCTTTGTCACGAGCATTTAATGGAATTGGCCTTGCGCTTGTAGCACCTGCAATCCAGTCTCTTGTTGCTGACTCAACTGATGACAGCAATCGTGGCATGGCTTTTGGATGGCTTCAACTAACAGGCAATGTTGGTTCGATTATTGGTGGCCTCTTCTCAGTGTTGATAGCTCCAATTACTGTGTTTGGAATCCCTGGTTGGAGAATTTCCTTTCACATTGTTGGACTAATAAGCATTATAGTAGGTGTTTTAGTATACCTCTTTGCCAATGACCCACACTTCTCAGATAATGGTAGAAATGATAGGAGGCAAGCTCCAAATAAAACATTTTGGTCTGAAGTGAAAGATCTGGTTGAGGAGTCCAAGTCAGTTTTGAAGATTTCGTCTTTTCAGATTATTGTTGCACAGGGTGTCACTGGCTCCTTTCCCTGGTCTGCTTTATCATTCGCACCAATGTGGTTAGAGCTTACTGGCTTCACCCACAACAAAACTGCTTTCCTCATAGGTCTGTTTGTTGTTGCCAGTTCTATTGGGGGATTGTTTGGAGGTAAGATGGGAGATATTCTCTCCAAGCATCTTCCAAATTCTGGGAGAATAATTCTGGCTCAGATAAGCTCTGGATCAGCCATCCCCTTAGCAGCACTTCTTTTGCTGGGTTTGCCAGATGATCCCTCCTCAATAGTGTCTCATGCTTTGGTTCTAATAATGATGGGGCTCCTGATTTCTTGGAACGCTCCTGCTACAAATAAGTACACATCTCAATCTAATCTTTAGTTTGTCTGTTTACTTAATCATCTTTCCCTTATTTGGTATAGTATCTATTTGCTATAAATATTCTGGAAATTTCTTGCACCTTCCAACTTTCGTTAAGAGGATTAGTGAAACTTTTATGTTATTCAATGTATTTTTACAATACATTGCTGATTTGTTAAACACACAAAATCCTCTCTAATTTCTAGGCTAGTGGCATCTTAACTTGGAATGATTTTCATTTTGAACTTGCTTATAAACTTGGTTAGAGCAAACCGACTACTGGTAGTGTGGTTATTAATAGGTAACTTCAATTAGCACTACTAAATATTCAACAGCCAGATAATTTCAAAGTTTTCAAATTTGTTTTTCAATTCACTTTCTGAAATATTATTAAATTTTCTTTTGCTTTCGTACGTATCCCGAACAAGCTTTTATTTACTCAAGTGCAAACAGTTCTGCATCTGTCTGTGGCAGAAAGAGAGTGCTAAACACAGCATAATTTATTGCATTTTTTGTGATCTAGAACTGAAAGACAGCTTTGTGATTGTAGAAAAGATTGTTCAAGTTATATATGTTTATGCATGGCTTGATTTGTCCCCTGTATGGACATTAGTCCAATTTTTGCAGAGATAGTTCCAGAGAGATCCCGAACAAGTGTATACGCCTTGGACAGATCTTTTGAGTCTATATTATCATCTTTTGCTCCCCCTGCAGTGGGGATTTTGGCTCAACATGTTTATGGGTATAAGCCACTTCCTGAAGGGTCCAGTGAATCTCAAGAGATTTGGACAGACAGAGAGAACGCTGCATCATTGGCTAAGTCTCTTTACACAGCCATAGGAATCCCAATGGCTCTCTGCTGCATAATCTACACATTTCTTTATAGAACATATCCAAGAGACAGGGAACGAGCTAAGATGATAGCTTTAATAGAATCAGAGATGCAATTAATTGAATCAGGTGCTTTAGACATGGATAAAGAGTTTGAGTCAGAAGAATTATCTATTGCAGAGTATGAGTATGATGGCGATGGCGATCTTGATGGTGAAGATAACACATTACTCTACGGGCAGTTGACATTTTCCAAAGAATAGTTAGAAACACATCACTTTTAGATGTTTTGCCAAATGATATTTTATGTCCCAACAGAGACAGGTTTCAGGTATATACTACATGGTGAAGAATTTTTTAGAACTACATTTTGATCATTTTTGTGCTTCAATCATACAGGAACTGTTATACATGAAACTATATACGTTTTCATAGCTATATCTCCCACTCTTTTGAGGGAATAATTCCCCGTTGTACGTAATTCAACTTTGTAAACTTTAATACTTTGGATAACACTGAGTGTATATTTGTTTGTTTTGGCTAATGTAATTGACATTCTAATTTCTTAAATATCAAGTGCGGTGTGACTTACCTCGGCAAGTCAAATATGAGCACAGAGACAAGGATAATTAGAAGAAAAAGGAACATAAATAATAGATAAAAGCAACTGAAGTTCAGAGATGGAGAGAGTAAACGAATAGTTCTAAATTCTTGTGCAACATCTTTCTATTAATCTTACTTTTTATAATAAAACTTGATTGCTTTTCTGTTTTTAGAATATGAAATGTATTTCTTTATTTTATTTAATACGCTCTCTATAAGATGGTAAAAGTATTTGCCAGAAAATGTAACGTTTCTCATTATTTATTTTTAAAAAAAATATTAAATATGCAATTCTTCACAACTTCACTTTCTTAAACGGGAATTTTTGATACCTTGAAACAAGTACCTTAATAGAAGGCATTTGTTTCATGATTTTTTTTTTTGCCTTCTATAGAATATAAAAGTAGAAATAAATATTTCATGCCTGTTAGAAAATTTTAAAAGATTATATATTTTATTTTTAAAAAAATGACATGTTTGCATATTTATGCATTATATTGATGCATCTTTTTTTCTCTAGGAAAGATTAATTAAGGAGAGATTACATAAAAGTGATATCAACTTAATCTAAGGAATTGACTTAATATATTGAGTTTTAAGAGTGAGCCTCCTTAATATTGGTATATTTCCTTATATAATGACTTTTACTTTGTTGTTGTGGTGGTGATGGTTTTGTATTGTTGATCTAAGACTAATGACTTTTTATTTATAAGGATCATATATTCAATTTGATATTATTTATTTTGATATTATTTATCGTATTTCTTCTTTTATTAGTATTATGTTCTTTGTCAATTGTAAATTTTGACATTAAATTTTTTATAGATGTTAGAATGTAGACATTTCTCTACTTTTTCCACTTAGAACATCAAAATTCTTTAAGAGATATTTATCTTCTCCTAATTTTGATTATTATTTTACATTTTCTTTATTTATAGTCAATTCTTCATTTATTTATTAAATGCAAAGAAAAAAATTGAACTTTTAATACTTATAGATGTTTTCATGTAAGAAATTATCATTATTTCATTTTTTTAAATTATTTCAAAATTTAATAATATTTCTTATAATATGCAAAGTTAGCCAAACATGTTTTATTTTATATAAATAAAATAAAAATCGAAATAGTATTTGTATACTAAAGTTTGATGGATTTGTATGAGACATTTAATCAAAAGAAAAGAACTCGAGTTGATTGAATTCAATTTGTGGGTTTAACGAGAGATCAAACTCATCTAGTGTGATTGCTGTAGACATTAGAAGATAAGATGATTATTGGAATAATTCCTGTCAACTTTTTAGTGGCAGATTGTCCAAGTAAATATTTTCAACAATAAAATTGATTAAAGAATAAAGAGAAATTATTCAATTAACTCATCGTTACCTTATTTTACTGCATAGAGCTTTAAAATTGTTTATTTAGCCATAGATTGATGACGATTGTTAACAGATCTATAATGTTCTTAGACATAAGTGTTATTTTCTTTTTTGTTTTCTTATAATTCAAAGTGCGGTTAATTCATTTATTTGATTAATTGATAATCTTTTATCAGACTTTCCATGTTAGTTTCACTATTTCTATGCATTTGGGTCCTGGACGATAATATGTACCATGAAGGACGCACGACCCTAAAGGATAGAAAGCTTAAATGACAAATAAATACTACAGGACTTTGAGGTAGGATTGGACAAAAGTAACTAATCAGTACTGTATTATAATTAATTATACTATATTATACTTAAAAATACTTATTCACTTTTACTAGAAGTTCAGTATATTATTTTATGGTTTAGTTTTCAAAAACTGAACTTATAACAATTTCGGTTCAGTTAACCGTGAGAACTGTATCTACTATTTTCTCTTCTCTAGTTCCAGTTCAACTGTTTAGTTTTGCCAAAAAACGTTATTTAATAATAAAATATTAATAAAAGAAACCGTTCACATAAAAAATTAATAATGAAATTTTTAAGACAAAATCTTTTTATCACAATTTTTTATATTTTTTTATCAATAAACATATATTACTTTTTAAATAATATTATTTTAAGTATAAAAGTAAAATATTTTTTTTTAAATTTAATTTTATTAAATGATTAAGTAATAGAAATCATAAAAGAAAAAAAGACTATATAAAAAAAGTAATGCTTTAAATATATTATATTCTTTAACATGTTATTAAATATGTAAAAATATGTTAAAAAAACTTTTAATGATATTAAAATGTGTGTAAGCGCACATACTAAAATAACTATTTATTTTAAAAATCAACTTACCTTAAAATAAATATCAATATTATTATTTTTAAATGATAATATTTTACAGACTAAAACTAAAATATATTTTTAATGTTAAATTTTATTAAATGACTATATAATGAAATATCATAAAAAAATAGTAATATAACAAAAATAATTAATATTATAGAAATATCAAATCACAAAAAAATTAACAAACGTTTATTAAGAGTAACTTTTTAGTATCATCTTTTATTATATTATAATAATTAATAAATATTAGTTTAATTTTTACATAATAAAATATAAATAATAAATAATTGATTAATAAAACAATTTTATGAGCAACAAAATAAATATAAATAAAAAATTGTTTTAAAATAAAATACGTAGATAAAAAGATAAAATAAATTATATACACATATAAAACAAAAAAATATGAATAAAAACTTAAAAAATAAATATAAAAGTAAAATAATATTCATGACAAAATAAATATAAATAATAAAATAAAATAAAATAAAATAATTTCCATACACATATAATAATAAAAGAAATATAAATAAAATAGAAAATAATAATATCAAATAATTAAAAAGTTAATTTGTAACACACTTATGAATAAAATAAAATAAAAATATTAAAATAAATTTCAATTAAAAAGAACATGTATTGTTATACTATTCAGTTTAAAAACTAGTACAATTCAGTTTAAAATTAGTATAGTTAGTAGTTCAGTTTAATTTATATTGTAGTTTAGTACAATTTAGTATAGTTAAGTTCAGTCCAGTTTGATAAAACAAAAAACAGTTCAGTTCAGTTTGTCTGAACTGTTTTACAACTCAGTTCAGTTTAGACAAATTAGTTTTTAGTTCAGTACATATTTTAGTAGTACAGTGCAGTTCAGTTCTATTTGTCCACCCCTACATATAAGATTGAGCGATTCTAGTAGTGCTAAATAGTCTTACTCGATAAAGAAGTTTTCTCCACAAGACAAGTATTAAAGTAAATGGTGACTAAAGGTAGTGGGCCAACGTTGGGTCAAGGTTAAGGTATCACTAATCTCAAGCCCATATAAAAAACTATAAATACAGGTCAAAGGTAAGAGGTAGGTGATCACATTTACTATGCATTTAATACCATTGCTTTGACTACCGTACAAACTATTCGCTAACTTAAGCATTGGAAAACCTTTTGACAGGTACCCCTCCAAACGGTTGGAGTGACAACGAAGATGAGACGAAGATTCTACTACCAGGACGGCTTAGGAGAGAAAATTTTGAAGGTGTTAGAAGTTACTTGACCTCATACCCGAAACATTTTGGTGCCCACCGTGGGATCGAGTGACTTGCTTAAAACCCAATGGTGACCACGAGAAACATGAGTTCTAAAGATTATCAAAATGTTGCAGTAGAGGATGGAGGAGATGCAACAACGATATGAGACGGAACTGGTTGTGCTTAGAGCTGAGAACGCCGCTAGAGCCGCTGGGGAAAAGGCCGTAGAGGAGGGAGACAAAACCGCCTAGATGGAATGGAGGAGCAGAATACAATGCATGATGGTTCGTGGCGGCTAACCGAAATAAGGGTCAGGGAAAGCAGGACAAAGAACGTTCTAGATGAGAGCGTCATGGTCAGCAAAGAACTCATGGTGAAAATCGAGAACATGGTCAGAATGTTGTCGTTCGTCTCTGCCATTATGGACATGCATATATCCCCAGTTCAAGATGTATGATGGGTCGACTGACCATGAAGATCACATAAAGACATTCAACAATCAGATGACGTTTCACACTAGGAATGACGCTATCTAGTGTCGAGCCTACCCCTTATCGTTGGAGGGAGAAGCTTTGGAATGGTTTAATTCCTTGCCTTCCAACTCAATTGAGAACTTTGAGAGTCTCAAGCGCATGCTCGGTCATCAATTTGCGAGAAATCGTGCTCAAGACTTGACTGTTTTCGCACTGGTGAATCTTAAGCAAGAGAAGGAAGAATCGTCGAGCTGAGAAAAAGGTTGGGGGAGAAAAAAGGAGCTTGGGTGGATGAGCTACCAAAAGTCCTATGGGCGTGCCGATGTACCCCACAGGGGATGACTAGTTAGGTGCCTTTCAACCTCACATATGGCACTGACGCCATGCTTCCCGTTGAGGTGGGGGAACCATCATTGCGAAGGCAACTGGAGAATGTCAAATTGAACGAGGATGAACTAAGAGTAGAGTTGGATACTTTAGAAGAACGACGAGAATCGACGGTTGTGCGGTCAGAGGCCTATAAGCGATTAGTCAAGAAAAGATATAAACACCAAGGTGCGACCTAGGAACTTCTAGGAAGAAGATTTGGTATGGAGAAAAACTGATGATGCAAGACGGACGACTTCACACGACAAATTGGCCGCTAAATGGGAGGGACCTTTCAGGGTAACAGAAGACCTTAAGAATGGAGCCTATCGCCTAGCCCAACCGGACGGTCGAACCATCCCTAATACTTGGAATGCTTCCCACCTAAAATTATACTTTAGCTAAGTAACCACTCATTGTATTCTTTTTGTCATGTTAATATAATGAGAATTTTATGACGATAGATCCATAGTAATATTATGTGCAAATGTTGATACCAACAAATAGACAACCATAACACCGAATGAAATTCTTCACTAACCCAAGTTGATGAACGGAGAATTCTGAAAGGAATCAATGTAAACTTGGTCAGGCAGTGAACGACCAATTCTTCCACGAACCACTGTCGTCCAGTCCACATAGCACTAACCCAAGTTGATGAATGGAGAATTCCAAAAGGAAGCACTATCAACTTGGTTGGGCGGGGAACAATGAGTTCTTTCATGAACCATTGTCGCCTGATCTACATATAACTAACCCTAGTTGATGAACAAAGAATTTCGAAAGGAATCACTCTCAACTTGATTAGACGGTGAACGAAAAGTTTACAAAAAAATAATAAATATTATGACACATATCTATGAAGGCACTAAACGTCTATAACTTAACAAAAAATAACAAAGCAAAAAAGGCTTTTTGCAAAGGAAAAGCGAAACTGTTGTATTGCATGGTAATCTT